ATAAATGTGAAATGTTTAGCAGTTAAAAATCTAAAGTGAAGTACTTTGAAACTTTGTGACCAGTAATAAAGAAAAAAGGGCACAGCTAATCCACTCCCTGAGACCTTCTCTTGACTATGCTCCATGTCATGGTAACATGTAACTCATGAACACCTGTGTCCTGCATACACCAAACAAAATAGGGGCCTTAAAATTAAGAAATTTAGCACGGAAAATTTGGAATCCAGCTTTGCGTGACTTATTTTTGATATTAAGGGCATCTTGCTATATAGGGCATTTGGACATAGTCGAAAGGGTCCCTTAATGTCGAAGTTCTACTGTACTTAACAAGGTAACTGTTCACTCATAAGGAAGGGATGTAATGCAGGCAAAATTACAAACTTTGCCAAGAACCTGCATCAGGCTCACAGAAGTGCTATTTGTGTATTGTGGCTAAGGTGCCTCAGACCATACATAGTAGGTCAACTACAGTTTGAAACCAGACAACATTGGGAATTTGTCATCCGGTCTGATGTTCCTGCAGGGTCCCTCAAGTCCAGTGAATCAGAATTAGAAAGTAACACCTGCCCTGTAAACCGAGTGAGCTTATGTTGGCTGGTTCTGCACCAGACCACCTAGGAACCCAACATCCAGGCAGCAGTAGGATGGAAGATGTACTGTACTACACTGACAGAACAACACTGCCCTACTCTACTGAGTGGAACTGGATAAGACGGGCATCCCACCCCAACAAACCCCAGCAACAGACCAGCCAAGTATGAAGTGATAAGGTCAAGGAAAAAAAATGTGCCAAAGTAGATAAGGTAAGTGAATGAGTATCTGCCAAAAAACTCTCAGGGGAATGGTAGATTCTCTCAGCAAAAAGGTGAATACAGGAAAATAGCATAAAAGGGTAGTAAGTGAAAGACAAAGGCTGGAAAATTGATCCTGAAAAAGTCAAACAGAAATAGAGGATTTGACCCCCAAGTCTGAAGAAGAAACTCCAGAGTTTGGGAGTCCAAGAATGCCAATACAGCTTCATGTTAAACCCAGACATATGTGACAACAAGTTAAGGAGAAGGGGAAGTGCATATACTGGAGCAAAGTGGAAATAAAAATTATCCTATATGGACTTGAATATCTGGAGAGGTTGTAAAACATAAAAGTCAGAAGCAGGGAATCAATTAAGAGGTGAATAAGAAACAACATACGAGCCAGGAGAGAGAGAGGAAATAGCCTGCCTGAGAAATCATGTCCTAAAATTACGAAAAAGGCCTAGATAGGTCTAAAATAGCATAGTAGAAGATTTGGCAAACGTAGGTGGTGGAAAAAACAACTGTCCGGATCCCCTCTATCACAAATGGGAAACATAGGAGGAGATATATCAGGTACAGAAAAAGGTCCAGGCAACATGAAAGACTCCATTTCCAGTTGCACAACAAAGACAAACCCAACGTTATTTACTTATTAGTCTAGTGTGAACAATGTCTTGTTGTCCTACACCAGACAAAGAAATTACCTTTATTTGTGAATTAATAATCTGGAAATAAAAGGCCACAAAATTTGCATGTGAAGAGATGTTGGAAAACTAAAGTCTAGATTTAATATTTCAGCAACAGTTAGTCTTTTTGTAAATACATCTATAAAAATGACTATATTTTGATAGCTCACAAGTGATGATTGAGAAATCAGAAATGCTAGAAGGGTGTGTCACACTCCTATTGGTGAAGGGTTGCGACATGCTCATTTGCATGCAAGAACTCAGAAATATCACATGGAAAACGTCGCATCTAGAGGAAAGCATTTAATCACAAAAGCTATATGCAAATGGAGATTATGTATTGTATCAGGATTGACTTGATGCTTGTCAAAAGTGGAGAAGAAGTAAGGAGGAATAACGACAAAAGTGATATAAGTAAGTTTTCAGGTAAAGAATAAGACTGTGTTATTGCTAAAGTATCTCGTTTATAACTTAATAGTTGTACATTACTGTGTAAGCAAGTTGGTTCACATTCCAACTTGCTTTAAATAACAAGTGTTTTGGACTCTCCCACAGCTTGGTTAAATGATGACATTGTTAATCATTGTCAATACCTTTGAATATTCAGTTTCCACATATTGATGGTTTCCAGGATGTTTGCATCTTTACAGCAGAAAGTACTAACCATTCAGCACCAGATGGAAAATTTCTTCAGATTGTTAATATGAATAACCATCACTAGAACAATTCATACGTATGACAGCCTAGGATGTAACACACCAAATCGGCAGCTCCAAAAGCAGATAGTCCGGCAAGAACATTTACAAGTAAGTATCCACATAAATATGTAGGTTCTAGCAACTGTGATCTTTTATTAGCTACTTCATTATCTTATGGAATTTAACCATACATCTGTGTATTAGTCAAATCAAAAATGCAGCAACACACAGGCTGCTCTATCATGGGTGTGAGAGAGTGTTGTTTGGGGCGACAAGACACCGATTACAATAGATTTATTTTTAACCTCAGGGTATGCAGTCATGAGTGGGTACAGAAGTCAACCAACTCGAGGAAGTTTACAAGTAAAGCAAGGAATAAATTATACTGAGTCCAATTTTACACCAAGAGGTATACACTTTATTAACATGAAGGCTTATAATGAAGGAAAAACAATAACATTGATTATATAAATGTTTACACTTTCAGTAACTTATATTAGGTTTATAATGTTTATAATCCTATCAACATGACTTATTTAACTTTAATGACTTTTGCAGTATATATCATATTTCTACCTGGCAATATTATTAGTTAAGGGAGAGTAGCAATTAAAACTTGTATGGAGTTAGTGTAGTGAAAGTCTTGCACATACAGATAAACTGCCATTTTCTGTTTGTATATCTCAGGAACTTAGCTAAAAGAACTGGAGCAGATAGAAAGCCTGGAGCAACCTCGAGGACAGGAACAACCCTAATGTTGGGGACAACTCTGCTGTCAGGAACAACCACACTTTTGGTCCAGAGAAATCAATTTTTATATGTTGTTGCAGCATAATCCATTCCAACTCATGGGGGTAGACTTTGAGGTGATTGGTCCAGCAATTAGAGTGGACCCATCTTTTTTTAGTGATTGGTGCCCAAGGATTTGATGTCAAATGACATAAAAGGTTACAGGAAAGGTTATCTGTGTATACAATTTCTCATCCTGTCTAGTCTGTCTTGAATAAACATCTTTCTGACCAGATTACATTTGTTGAAACATTGTCGATACTTTTACATCTGTGAACACATTTGTTTAGACTTATACAACTGTCTAGTTAGAATCACCTTACGTCAGAATCTTCTCACTTCTCATTGATATGCAGGTGATGTTTAATACAACGCAAGTTGCTTCTGACACGTATGTTCAACATTCGCCTTTTGTTAGCATTTCACAACTAATATTTTGCAACACATCCACAAGTCTATAGCTTAGCTCTTAAGAAAACTTAGTCAAAGTATGTGTTTATTTTAAAGTGGCAGTTTGGCTCGCGAGAAAACTTAATCGAAAAATTTGTTTAATATTTTGCAACACGGCCATAAATCTGTAATTAGCCTGTGTGAAAGTGTAGTTGTGAAGCATTTGTATATTTTAAGGTGCTTCACCCCTCCCTCTTTAAGGAAATGTTTTACATTGTATAAAAATTTTAAACACAGTATATCCATGTTTCTACTCTCGCTTGTAGTTCCAATAATATTGAATTAAGGTAAATCAGTTTCAACATCCCACTCAATAATTATATAAGACTCCTATTCCTAACAGTCAACTGTATAACCCTCTGTATGTATAACATATACTGTTATATATGATGTTACATAAAAATAAAGAAAATAACAGAAAATAAAAATTCATGTAATTAATGCATCTAATCCAACGTAAATAAGGTCCTATTATGAATACTCAAGTACAAAAGTCAGAATTATACATAATGTACATAAAACAAACCATAATTGTGTGACAGATTTATTATCATATATTTATTTTAATATCAAGGTTTGTTTAGATTAAGTTTATATTCATAAATATGCATAGCTTATTGTACTAAATATGTATTGCGAATCTCCGCCTATTCTCCAAAGTTGTAGAAGATTCTCGGGAGTAAGAATCAACAATATACGTATGTACATAAATGCTTAAATTTGTATTGTTACATAATCTGCATTTTCTAGATGGCCTCCACATGCCTATAAGTATAACCAATGTGATGCACCTAAAATGAGTATATATTATCGGTGTGCTATAGTTGATATACTATAAACCTCGGAAGCTATAATTGTGATTAACACTTATTAAGCGGGAACTTCAGATATATTGACCAGGAACTTATATAAATTTCGAACATTACACATCACTCAACTTCAGTGGATTCACATCGGGCATTAGTCTTTTACGAAAACGTTACCCTTACGTCACTGGTAGGAAAAATCAGCAAATAATACAAAGCTAGCTAACTTTCTATTAAATGAATTGTACCTACATCAACTCGTTCATCATGAACCATCAAAAAGATATCGAAGAAGTTCCAGACTAGAAAGAA